CTTTTGTTCAATATTCTTTATTTTAAATAGATATATTTTTCATTATGAATCAATTGCCTTGGTTAAGTATTATTGTATTATTTCCCATCTTTGCAAGATTTGTTCTTCCATTACTTCCTAGTAGGGAAGAAGAAGAAGAAGAAAAAGAAGAAGAAGAAGAAGAAGATAAAGAAGGATGGCGGAGGCCACACCAGCATCAGTTGTACTTAACTGGGCGCCATAGCCGTGCTCCACACTGTCAACCAACAACAACAACAACACATACCTGCGTCAGCGGTACTTAACTGGGCGCCATAGCCGCGCTCCACACTGGCGACCTGAACAAGAAGAAGAAGATGAAGGAGAAGAAGACGAAGAAGAAGAAGAGGGGCGGAGGCCATACCTGCGTCAGCCGTACTTAACTGGGCGCCATAGCCGTGCTCCATACTGGCGACCTGTACAACAACAACAACAACAACACATACTTGCGTCAGCGGTACTTAACTGGGCGCCATATCCGTGCTCTACACTGGCGACCTGAACAACAACAACAACAACAACAACAATAACAACAACAACAACAAAAACAACAACGACAACCACAACTACAGCCGTGCTCCACACTGGCGACCTGTACATCCACACTGGCGACCTGTACAACAACAACAACAACAACAACAACACATACCTGCGTCAGCGGTACTTAACTGGGCGCCATGGCCGTGCTCCACACTGGCGACATGAACAACAACAACAACAACAGCAACATCCACAACCACAAGAAGAAGAAGAAGAAGAAGAAGAAGAAGAAGAGGGGCGGAGGCCATACCTGCGTCAGCGGTACTTACCTGGGCGCCATAGCCGTGCTCCACGCTGTCGAAGAAGAAGAGGGGCGGAGGCCTTACCTGCGTCAGCGGTACTTACCTGGGCGCCATCGCGGTGCTCCACGCTGTCGACCTGCACAACAACAACAACAACAACAACAACAACAGCAACAACCAAACAACTACGAGAACCACAACCACCTGGGTGCCACAGCTGTGCTCCAGGTTCTCGACCTGCACAACAACAACAACAACAACCAACAACCAACAACCAGAAGAAGAAGAAGAAGAAGAAGAAGAAGAAGACGAAAAAGAACCACCTGGGCGCCATAGCCGTGCTCCACGCTGTCGAAGAAGAAGAAGAGGGGCAGAGGCCATACCTGCGTCAGCGGTACATACCTGGGCGCCATAGCCGTCCTCCACACGGTCGACCTGTACAACGACAACAACAACAACAACAACACATACCTGCGTCAGTGGTACTTAACAAGGCGCCATAGCCGCGCTCCACATTGGCGACCTGACGAAGAAGAAGAAGAAGAAGAAGAAGAAGAAGAAGAAAAAGACGAAGAAGAAGAAGAGGGGCGAAGGCCATACCTGCATCAGCCATACTTAACTGGGCGCCATAGCCGTGCTCCACACTGGCGACATGTACATCCACACTGGCGACCTGTACAACAACAACAACAACAACAACACATACCTGCGTCAGCGGTACTTAACTGGGCGCCATAGCCGTGTTCCACACTTGCGACCTGAACAACAACAACAACAACAACCACAAGAAGAAGAACAAGAAGAAGAAGAGCGGCGGAGGTCATACCTGCGTCAGCGGTACTTAATTGGGCGCCATTGCCGTGCTCCACGCTGTCGACCTGCACAACAACAACAACAACAACAACAACAACAACAACAACAACAACAGCAACAACAACAACAACCACAACAACAACCA